TAGCTCATAGAAGTGCTCCAGCGGCCAGCCACCTAATTTTCTCTATGCAGAAGATTAACCACTATGCCCAAAATAACCCCACCACATCACAGCTCTATTGGAGCCAATTTTACATATGATAAAGTAATGTGACGTCCGGCTTCTTGATGACGTGAGAGGCTTACAGTAAATCTAAGAAGACATCTGAGCCGGTAACAAGCATGAGCCAAAGATCAGATAATCGTCTGCACTATACAGATACACATTTTCTTTTGGCTGTCCTTTTCTGTGGCCTTTTCGACCACACATTGGGGGCGAAGAGGGACAACATTTTTGTAGCGTTACACAGAACACTGAAAAAAGGACACCAGTAGATCACTGTGCTCTCTCCAATTAAGGTTTTGTCCGACTTGGCTCATTTGAAAAACGTAAAGGCATCCTTTGCCCCTGTGTTGGCTTGGCATGAGAGTTGGAGTGGATCCATGCTATCACTCAGCAGTACTGTCAGCTACTTACAGACAACCCTTTCTTTAAAGCAGAGAAGTGATGTCAGAGCAATGAGGGAGAGGAGGGGGGGAATCCTAAAGTTGCAGCATATGTCTTGAGAAGACCCAGGCTTTTTTTTTTTTCATATTCCACTCTCGAGGTTGTAATGCAGGGGGTCACGGCGCTGAAACGTACCGTGTCCTCTGTGAGTGAAAGCAATTGCAAGCAGAGTGAACAAAATCCAATGTCAGACAGTCTCTGCAGCGGTAAAGCATCATCAAATGTACAGAGCGGTGCTTAAGAGAGGTCAGTGTGCTCTGTAGGGCAGCACAGTGCTGCTTTCAGAGAGTGACTGCAATGTCAAAAAGAACAGTTCATGCAGAAAGTGCAGATGAGACAGATTGATGTAGAAACTGCAGCTCATTGTCATCTGTTTGCATGACAAATTTGTCTTAACAAGGCTGCAAGGAGTAACTCTATAATACCTGACACAGGTACTCTCAATTGGCTTGGCTCCATTTTCATCCCGGAGGAGTGTGCGTTTATTCAAGATGGCTCACCAGGCAGGAACTTTGCCAGGAGACCGGACATGATGAGAAAGGGTGCTGAACAAACTCCTTGGCAAGTTTCAAGTAAACACTGCAGAATGTGAAGTAAATCACCCTGATAACCAGGCTGCAAGGCAAACGCTGGTGTGGTGGATTATTTTGACACTTATGAGTACAGGTTGTGATTTTGGATGCTCTCGCAATAAAGCTCACTCATGCACATGGGCGTAGTAGTTGGGGGAGGGGCTCTTTCTTCTTAAAACTCAGTAGATTTTGATCAAGAAGAGACTGTATCCTCTTTAAATGTGTGGTATCAAAAGTATTAATGGAGGAAAATTCTGAGGACCTCAGCTTGAAGCTTTTAATGGGGCATTTGTGTAAAGGAGTTGTGGGTATAGAAATATCACAGGGGTGGCTGAGACTGTGGTGGAGGGGCCTGATGTGATCTTTTCAGGGGGCTCAGAAATCCTGGAGACCCTGCACATGCATGCCAGAATACATTACTGGTCAATTTAATCAATGATTCTGCCTTTCAACTAAATTGACAGGGCTGGACTCTGCACATCTAATCACACTGATGCTGTGGCTGAGTTCAGGTGGTCTTTAATTGCAGCGCAGAGATACAGCCGGGAGTAACTGGAAAACTCTATGGTCACGTCGATATGACGGGCTGTGTATGGTACTCCTCCATCAGCTCAGGGCAATTGTAATCAATGTTTATGAGGAACGACAGAGCCTGACACATGGGTCAGCCACGCAATCAGTCACAGGCAAGAGCTCGAGGAATGAGAGGCGGCGGTAGATGACCACAGTGAGGTTCAGGGACCTTTGGGGGTCTCGTGACGGGCTGCTAAAGAAGATAAAATGTGTTTTTATATCTTTGTTGGACAGTGCTGTAATTGATTCTGTGATGACTTATCTGATCCGATTAAATCTTGACTGAGTAATAGAGTATCTATATGAAGATATATCAAATCTGAATGCAGGCAGAGGTTTTAATCATCACCCTGTTCATTAATGCACTATGGTCTTACTATTGTGGTGTTTTTGTGCTCAGAACTATTAAGTGACAGAAATATGGCAAAGATTTTACACTTAACCACATCATATTCCTCCACTGATTATTAAATGGAGATCAATCCACTGTCATTGAAATAATTGTCTCAGTTTTATTGCATAATTTCCAATTTGCATAGTTCCAATGAACGAGGGAACTGATACTGATACTGAGAATATATCGACATGCTGGGATTTGATGTCCATAAAGTTTGAGTTGATGGATAAGAGGGAGGGTTGAGGTGGGGGGTAAACCCATTAGTCTCCCCGCTGACTCGCAGGTTCGGCAGGGATCCTTTTAAACAGCACGAGAGAAGAGAAGGGACCACAGCGGTGCAACTTACACACTGCTGCTCCTCTGCGCATATCCACACACACACACACACACACTCACATCGAAGACACACAGCTGCTGCAAAGCTGCTCTGACAGCAGGTTGTAAACTGCGATCAAACAGTTGGACACTGACTCTTGAAGCGACTGTTTTCTCTGTTGCTGGAATGTTTCTTTGCAGGGGATTTCTTCTCAGATTATTTCTTCCTGGATGTTTCATCAAACAAAATCTATCTCTCTCGTGACTGCACGGAGCGGACTGTGCGAAGCTGTCAGGTAGGTGCTGACTCTAATAAATCCTCAACTCACTTTTTGCTCTTCTTTTTTCCTGCAGCAATGTAGCGATGCCTTAACTTCAAACAAATACAAATAAAGCATTGAAGTAGAACATTTGACATGATTTAGGTTTCACAGTGATTGTTTTGTTAATGATTGAATGTGAGAAAATTAAAATTTGGATTGATTTGAAATATTCTAACTAAAATTTAGCATGTTTTTTTAATGTCCTGCTCTGGTTTTGTTACAATAACTTTAACAGAAATAGATATCATACGTTATACAATTCTGAATCTGTAAAAAACAAGGTGAAAATGAACAATAACTACACATCATTAACCATTAGCTTCGCATTAGTTTAGTTTACACTTAATTAATAGTTTCTAAAGCATTGTTACGATATTATGTGTAATTTATAAACAGACCTTATTATTTCTTAAACTTTTTAGTGTGAATTTGCTGCGAGGGGGAGGGGGGGTCAGATGAAGAGATGAACATCACACTGCAGAAACAGCCTTTGTTTACATTTGAAACAGGAAAAAATCAGCATAGAATGAAACATTTGACTAAAAATGAAGCAAGGGGAGATATTTTTGTGAATAATCACAACTCAAACAAAAAAAGAGGATCAGAGACTAGAGGTATCACTTTCTCCACAGGGGGGCGCCAAAATCAACACAAACCAAATGTTCCTCACAGGAGCTTTAAATACTTTATGACCTCAACTAATGCTTAAATGTGTAGTTATTATGAAGTGTTACCAAAGAAGAGGGCTTCAATGTGTTATGTTCATTCATCTTCTGATCTTTTCTGGTTATCGTAATGAATCTATTCATAATTTTAAGGCCTCAGAGTGATGTCTTTAAGATCCAACAAACATCTCAAAACTCAAAAATATCCACTGTATAGAGAGCAAAATGACAAAGAACCCCAGATGATTAAGAAAAGTGATTGAAAGTGATTGCTTCAGTCCAACAAACATGAAAGTAATAGCTATAGTGTCTTCTACCCAAAGCAATATTTGTTTAATCAGAGCTATTTAGCATACTGATATTAATGTTTATTGAGGGAATCCTGGAGAAATTAGAAAGCTATTTCTGAGAAACGTGTCTGACATTCGTCACTGCGATCAAACAACTGCTTCCTGCTTATCAGATGCTCTTTATGTTGTTATCTATCAGCCCAATGCTCCGTGTCCCACAGTCGTTTTAATTTGTATTCTGACCTTCACTGCTCTCGCATGCTCCGCTGTTAATCTTATAGAGTCCATCAGTTCTTTATTTAATCACACATCACTGTTTAAAAGTTCATCTGCTGCATGTTAATGGCTTCTCATTTTCTCACAGGGACACATCCCGTGTGAAGGGACCAGTGCTTTAGAAACACGCTATTATTATGATAATCCTGAACTGCTGGCTTTTTCTTGGGGGAAGCCATCTGAAAAGGGGTAAATGGTTTGGGAATTCCGGTGAATATCAGCTTTGAGATATGACAAAGAAGTTATCAACTTAAAAGTGATACGTGGAGTAAGAAAAGCTGTCTTTCAAATTAAATGTTTCAGGTTTTATCAGCATTTTTTAAACCAAAGCACCGACCTCGGACTTCACAGGTTGCAAAAAAACAAAAGAAAGAAACTCTAAAGAACTTCCTTGTGTGATTTGACATTTTCTTTATCTATTCTTTATCTATTTCTCTTGCAGGAATCCTCCAATCTGCAAAGAGGACACATTATTCCAACCCCGGCACACATGAGTAGAATGACACGAGTTGATCTTTGACTGCACAAGCACACAATCCAGTGGGTACTTGCTCCTTAGCTGTTGGATCAGGGCTTGGACTCCCATCTTTTTTAAGATCAACGATAAATAAGAATGATGTTGAAGGTGCCTGCAGAGTGAAACTTGGTCAATACCCAGACCAAGGCCATGTCCAGACAGCCCTTTAATTCATTTGGATGAGGCGGGATGCCAACGCAGAGGGCACAAACGAAAACCAGCTGGCAAAAATGTTGAACCTGGCTCTACTTTTGCTGCAACGCTCATCATCCGCTAAGACTCTGCATCGGCAAAACAAATTCTAAGACTACTGGGTTACGTGAATGGATTATTTCTGCTGTTAGGTTTGTACTAGTTGGTGAAGAATAGATGCTGCTCTATCAGGTTCAGGGTTTGTTCCTGAGAAGTCTCTGACTAGGCTTTGAATTCATGGATCTATCCGTCATACTGGATTTCCTTATTTCATGTCTTTCATGTCCCAAAAGCAACATTTTATCACCAACGCAACTCCTTGCGTTGATTTAACGCAGGGCTGATTTGCCCTCTAATGGGGGTCTCTCAAAGGTGCAGGTCATCCGTAAAACCTCCCTCCTTTGGTTCTCCTTTCTCTGTGAGAACATTGTGGCTTCTGTCGATGGTTATGACTGCATGTGCGTGCCCTAAGGTCTGTCATTGCTCGGACAGGAACGGTGTGGTGGTGCAGTGCACCTCACGGAACTTGGAGAGCATCCCGACGAACTTGCCCAAGGACACTGTCGTTCTCTTGCTTTCATCTAACCGCATCAGACACATCACAAGGGAGGCCTTCGCAGACCTCCACCGCCTCAGGGAACTGGACTTATCTCAAAACGCCATCGAGAATGTGGAGGTCGGTGCCTTTCAAGGAATTTCAGAGAGCCTGCGGACCTTGGATCTTTCAAACAACCACCTCAGCGGCCTCCCAAAGGACACCTTCGCCAAGCTGCACGCCCGTGTCCGCCTGTCCGACAACCCCTGGCACTGTGAGTGCTCTTTGCAGGAGGTGTTAAGGGAGCTGAGGCTTGACCCGGAGACGGTGAACGAGGTCAGCTGCTACTCGTCGGTGCAGGAGGAATACATCGGACAATCGGTCATCCAAGTCCTGGACTCTGGGATCAACTTTTGCAACTTCCACCACAAGACGACAGACGTGGCCATGTTCGTCGCCATGTTCGGCTGGTTTTCGATGGTGACTGCTTACATCATTTATTACATCAAACACAACCAGGAGGACGCCAGGAGGCACATGGAGTACCTCAAATCACTGCCCAGCACGTCACATATCAGCAAGGACTACGACACAGCCAGCAGTGTGGTCTAATGTGTTTGAGAATGGATACAAGTTTACTGAGGAATAAAAATGAAGGAGCAGCAGAGAATACAGATCAAGGTGCACCAATGAGTATGTGCATTGCATATAAGGAATGAATTAGAATATTAGCTGTCTCTTTAAAGCTACAAAACAGAACTGTGAGCGTTTAAATTTGTTAAAAAGTGACCTCAAGTAGGAGACCATATGGGAAACATTTAGAGGTGTCAGCAATCCTGTCTTGTTTGCCTCCCAATGTATAGAAAGATAATAAATTCCTGCTTGAGACTTGCAGAGTCTTCTTGTCAATGAGATGATTCTGTGTATTTATAGATCGGTAAATAATGTAAACCAGTAGTTCAGATAAGGTCACCTGTAAGGACTTACATTTCAAGCTTGAACACTTGTCTCTTCACTTTATGCGTTCCTGTAATAGGTAATAACTTTGTCACTTCTGGGAGTAAAAACAATCAATTCCTGTCAGAGGAAACGTCGCTCAGATGAAGCTGCATGTCTCTGCTCCGAGACAAAAAGCTGTTGGGATTTTCTTCCCATAAGTTATCTTTTTAGTTTTTAATTAACTGCTGTTGGGTAACATGTCAGGTTCAAGAGAGTACAAAGGTAATTTTGTAAAATTCATACGTGCAGAATTTCTTTAAATTTGGAAATGGCAGTGTTTGGGCACTTCTATTGACAGTTGTCTCATGAATATAAAAAGTTGCTTGAGATAAATAGTCGAGGGAGGTGATAGGTTTTGGTGAACTATTGCAGAAGAATAAGATACAGCTAAACCATGTAAAGGCCTCTGTCCAATTAAGGATTCTTTTTGCAACCTTTCAACTTCAGAGCAATGCTAATGGGTACTGCCAGGACAAAAAAAAAAAAAAGACATTTTAGTGGACACACGTTTTAGTTTAAGAGCACCAATCAAAACTCAAACTGATGAAAATGTTATAATTCTGTCTGTTTCATGCATAATTAGAGATAAGCTGCATTTTTTTACCTGATGTTTCTGTCACTTTATTGCAAACGTTCACACATTTTGGACATCTTTGGACATCTTTGTGTCATCATCTGTGTCTTTGTTTTTCTTTGGACATCCCATGGTTGGTGGTTTCTTCAGTTCTAACTTGACTTTCTAATTAAGACTAATAAAAACAGTGAACTTCTAATTAGACTGCTGCAGCTTTATGTTGATTCTGGTACGTTTTTTTTCCCAGGATGTATTTACAGTGAGTCGTGCCCTTTTATGGGTCTGTGAGCATCCCTGCAGGTTGCTCCATAAGTCAGACACTGCTGCTGCTACTTTGTATCGCAGGATGTTTATTTCCTACCTCCTCTTTGGACAATAAAAATAACACAAAACTCAACATTTATCAGAGTCCTGCTCCTTATTTTTCCCTCAAGAGAAGCAGGAGTGGAAGCAGAACGATGTGTTCATGTGTTTTGCGGGTTTGTCACACGCACTTTCAAACATCTTACACAATCTTGAATCAGCTCTTCTGCAGCTGTAACACACTCCTCACATTAACGTCTGCTATTTATCCCTCTCGATGCCCACAGGTCCAGATATTAAGCCCCATATATCTTCAGTTACATAGAGCTGGAAGAGGCAGAATATTAATGCATGTCTCGCAAACCCAAAAATAGTTTAAATCTATAAATGTAATGAGCCTCTGTGGAGGAGGGTTAACTTAGGATCTCACTGCTGTATCTATCAGGGGCGTCCAGACTCATTTTAAAACAAAGCACCATTCGATAAAGTGAAAATACAACCTCTGCCTCATAATGTACTCCTGCACCATGACATACATTATATACATATAAATTATATTAGATTGAAGTGTAGCCAAATGTCTGCCAATTCAGCCCTCTTTAACATCTCCACGGCTAAAAAACAAAAGGAACAAGCAATCATGGATCTTTTATAGTTTCCTCAAACTGAGAATGTAATTTATTCAGGACTCTTACACACCCTCACATACTCTTTGCTTCACATCTGCCCTGACAGAATTTTGCATCCAGAGCATAAAACTGGAAGCTGAAGCTTCACTCCCTGATCTTTGATCCACTCTCTCATACACAAGTCGCTCTCTGTCATTCAAAACTTTCAAAGAAGTAGACGCCCTTTCAGACCAAAACAAAACCCGTCATTTGCGGAATTGCCAGAGTATCATATCAATATGTTAACAGTGAAATAACTCTTAAGTAAATAAACCATCACTTTACTGTTTTTTAAAGATGCTTATTATAAAAGGTTACTTCAGATGTATGTCACACATACTGTATATTTACCTGATATACTTGTGGTCTTCTGAATTCGAGGTAATTTGCTGAAACTACTGACGTCCTGCCAGCAAAACAACATATTTTGTGAAATGTGTGCATCCAGTTCTCACCTTGTTATTTCTGAAACCCGACCGATGTGCTGTCAAACAGTCACAACATTAATTACAGCCCACATTTCTTTGTCTTACAAGTCCCCGAGTGCTGGAGCGTACATACTAATGAACTGAATATTTTTAATTAGCTGGATGCAGTTGAGGTCATTGTGTCTCTCGGGATTCAGACAAACAAAAGGCCCCTCATTGGAGCTACACAAGCAACAAAAGAGAATGACTGGCATCTATTTAGCAGCTGTTCTCAGCATTGAGGCAGTGCTACAGATAGAGTTTACAATTAAGGCGCAACTTTAAAATCAGGGCTCTGAAAAACACCTCTTGTAAACGTCCTGCTCCCCAAACTGACCACAAATTAAATCATCCCACGCTGTAGAATATTCAAGTGCCCACATTGCTGAACAAGCAGCAAGCAGAATGTAAATTAAAGACGCATATCCAACAACACTGGATCAAAAATAAGCATAATAAATAACATTATCTTGGGAGACACCAGCATGAATGATAGTCAGAGTTTCCATGTCATTCTCTGCCAGGGTTATATACCATCGCTGTAAGTCATCAGAGTCCTTTCTTAATGCTGTATTGTTCAGCGTTCTTATTTATTACAGTGTCGTTGATTTATGATGCACATACACACAGGGGGCACATAACAAGATGTCTTTATGGAGATTTATCACTTTTCACTGGACGGGCAATGTTTGCAGAATCCTGCCTGAAGGCCATCCTGTGTCTTCAAACATCATAAAATGAGTTCAGTAAAACATACAGGTGACTTTCATACCAGACTTCTCAACACTTACTGTAGATGTTGATTTGACTCCCAAATGTCTGCGTGGTCTTATGAGAAGGTTATTATAAAGATGATTCTCCCTGAAGCGTTCATCCAAGTAGATTTCTTAAGCTTGCCTCTATCCTTGACTGTTATTGTGCCGCCTCTCCTCTCACACACTACTGATTCATTTAAGGTCTTGTGACAATGTGTCTCCTTTAACTGGATCAGGTGCTTCGCAGCTAAAGTCCACTTTAATATGCAGCAGATGTTGTGCACATAAACAGATTTTGTCCTTTCGTGTAGTGAGAGATATTTCCACTTTGCATTATTGTTGCATTTTGGCTGAAGACTGAACAAGTTGGGTGTCTTTCTCGACGACATTTGACCTTTCAGCCACAGTCACGCACATGTTTCCAAGCTTTGCAGAGTCGTTCTGTGAAGCTGAAACAGTTTCTCAAGATGGGCAACATGATGACACATAAGTGGAGACACAAACAAACCACTACAATGAATACAAAACCCTGTTTAAAAGAGATTCATGGAGCACATAATGTGTCATGATGACCGTCTGTTCTCGCACTAAACTGCACTAGGCATGCATGCCAATGAGACTTAGCTCGCAGCCTTGAATATGTACAAGGCCAAAGATTCAGATGTTTCATTCAGGGCGGTTTCAAAAGAGCAGATTTTAGTCCTTCTAATATGTGAGTAAAGCCGAAAGAGCTTCTAGACGAAGTCAAACAGAGAAAAAGCACAATGCGACAGAAGGTTGAGACACACCCAGCGAGGGGTCTTTCAATTTAGGATGAAGGAAGGTGCAGTGTTTGGGTTTACGGAGGAGAGGAGAATTGGAGAGCGAATGATTCACTATCATTGTGTCGCACAGGGGGCTGTTTGGGGGAACATGCTGAGAGAGGGCCCGCTCTGTTCAGGATGAAATCTCAGAGATATGAAGCATTTGAAACCTGTGTGTGTGTGTGAGAGAGAGAGAGATGAGGCAGAGTGAGATTAGAGAAAAGAATTCTGCACGTTGGCATGATTTTGATTCAGGATGCATCCGCTGAGAGACCGTTTCTTTATGTCTGTGTGTGGCAGGACTGAAATTGGAAAAATGACTGTGCAAAATGGCCAAAATTAAGAAAAGTTTATCTATATAGCACAAACTACATTAAAAGCATCCTTAAATGGGGTCCTGAACCCTAGATTGGCAGCCACTTTAAGTGAGGCATCTCTAGATTTAATGAATGTTTGCGTTTACATTCATTAAACACAGGGAACATCCTGTGGAGAATGTATTCCTCTTCAGATTTCTTTTAGGTTTTGAGGCAATGCTCCATTATTATTTAGCACAAAGACGATACAGTACGGCTGCAGAGAAACACTTGGACCAGTCACTGCCCTCAGCAACCCATTAAAACCAGTGAGTGTCCGGAGAAGTCATTTATCAGATGCTGCAGCAGCCCTTAACACTCCGGAGCTGCAACAAAGAGCTCGTTTATATCCCTCAAAGAAAAGTTAAAACAAGTGTTTCCACACCTCAGCAGAGGGAGATTTATCATTTCTTCCTGTGGTGCTCTCAGGTCAGAGGTTTGTCTTTGCAGAACAGCTTAGAAATGTTCTATCAAAAGGTTTCTGAGCTGCCGTCAGTGTGTCATGTTCATAAATGTTCAAATGAGATGAGACACAAGTGTCACTGCTGAGGAAAACATACTGCCCTCCTGTGGGTAAACTCTGTACTACAAGTCAGAGTGCAACAGAGTTCTTAAAACATTAGAGCAGGATTGGCATGCTTATGTGAAAAAAAACACATGGATACACACTGAAAGGTATATATTAAA